CCAAAATCTCTGTAGATGCTCATTGAAATGACAAACAACCTAAATTTAAAAAAATAAATAAATAAATATAAAAATAAAAATTATAGTGACCATCTGCTGAGCTTACTCCATATGCCAGGTACTGAGTTAAATTCTTTAAGCTCATTAGCTCATTAATGTTTATAATCATTCTATGGAGTTCATTTTTCTCTTTTGACACAAGAGAATTCATTCGGAGGGTAAAAAAGTTAAACTATGCTTCGGTTACATCTGGTAAGGCAGAGTCAGTATTTAAATGTTTGCTAAGTGCAAAGTCCCGCTGCCTCCCTGTAAATGAAGCGTTTTTAGCTTAAATGGTTAATCATATCATAATATTTTGAAGTAGGTACTATTGATCATAAGAGAAACCTTTTAGTTAAAGGAAAAAAAGATGGAAAGGTTGGTTAGTAGAAAGAAAAATGAGACATTAATTTTGGATAAAAATATAGGCCAAAAAGTCTCAGTGGAAAAAACAGATGAAACAAAAGCTAAATATAATACAGAACTCTTGTTGACAAAGAAGTAAAATAAGTTTTAAGGCACCAAGTAAAGCTGAAGATACAGCTGGAACTGAATTGAGTATGTGCCACTTTCAAATGTTCAGCAAAGAAACTTCTACTCAAATTGTTGTCAGGTGCAATGAGTCAGCACCAAACCATAGCTAACCCTCCAGTGGGTTTTCAGATAAGAAAATTACATACAGAGTAATTAGATGCAAAACAACACGTCACCTAGCAGATTTTCTGCAGGAGACTGGCTAAGGAGACATTGAGAATTCCCAAAGAATGGGTTCCTGAATACTATCTAGGTATTTTAAAACCAACTGACAATATTTGGGCAACTTTGCTCTATTTTAGTATCATGTCTGTTGGCTTCAGCTTTCTAACACTTCTACACCAGAAACAGATGGAGCCAACTCTATCCAATTCCCTCATGTGGATAGTGACCCGCACACTACCCAAAGGCTGCCAGATTCAAGCTTTTGCTGTAATGACAATTGTGTACATTAGAGTTGGTCTTCAAGCTTCCTTAGACACATCTCAAACTCTACTATACTCCAGCTCAGGGTTAACAAAAAAAGTTTTATTCTTGACAGTTTATTCTGTATTATATAAATTAATCTCAAAACAAATTTGCAGAGTTGAATAGAATTGTCTTAGTAGATAATCTAATTGAAGATAACATTGTGATAGAAGCTTTATGAGATTCAAACCAATGTCTCTTAAATGTTTGACTTCTCAACTACAAATAAATTCTTAACTTTAACCTAAAGTCCATTAGCAAACTGCCTTGAAAATACCTTTATTTTTAGTATATTATTAAACATGATTAACTGATAATCTGAACACTGTATTTCCAGAAAATATATCAATTTACTTATTACAGATTATCCCTCACTGATATATGTGCTTCAGTTAGTTATTCATATTGTATCCTCTTCAAAGAAAAGGACAATCACTAGTATTTCTTACAGCACTAATAATATACTGAGTAATCAACTCCAGTTGTACAAATACCTACAGCTTAATACTCACTTGGTGACACAGAGCGTATCTCTACACTGACTGATGAGGGTCTCTCTGTCATCTTCCCTCTGTGGCCGGACAGTAATTAATTCAAAAGTGTTGCGTCTTGCACAAAATTCTCTGTTGACTGGTTCTATTTGACGGCTTGTACAATTAGCCAAGTTTATCCTTCCTATTGGATTCTTAAAAACAAATTGTGAAAGTTTAGGAGTAAAAAATAAGTAAGGGTTTATTTAAATCAGCACACAATGGACACGATTTTAGAACCTGAAGATTAAAAATAGCATAAAAATTTAAAAACTTACCTCTTTGAGGGGGATTTTATTCTGCTTATTATCTTTTACTATTTTTTAGTAGTAAGTGATATTATTGGGCAATAATACTTAACTTTTACAAAATGAGATAGGAATGATCGGATCACTTATGCAAAACCACCCCAACAAACCAAATATATTTCTCTGGACACTTTTCTGTTTTATTACAGAGTTAGGTATTCAAGATTTCTTGTACTGTTTTATTCTGGATTTAGGTAAATCTTAAGTGCTTAATAAAGTATAAAATGAAATTTTAACATATTTATAATCTTAAAAAAGACTAGTTGGCTTTGGTATCAAGGATATGTTTGCTTCATAGAATGAGTGTGGGAGTGTTCCATCTTATTCTATTTTTTGAAATAGTTTATATAGAATTGGTGACAGTTCTTCTCT